ATAAATGGAATCAAACTGTACAAATTGCTCTGCAACTTGCCTTTTTCACTCTGTGCTATATTAGTACATATAAATGGATTGCATTTTCTAATTGTTGCATAATATTTTATGGACTGGATGCACCACAGTGGATTTAGCCCACTCACTTTCCAAAGATGGAAATGTATTTTTCTATAAATGTTATAGCTTTTGAAGGGCTCGTGGTTTTTTTTTTTCCTTTCAAAATGTAAGACTTTTATTTATGCTAGTGGAGGTACCCACGCTGCAGTGACAACACAAATATTTAGCAACTCTGAGCCTGGTGACTAAATTTTCGCATTTTCTTCAGGTGCCTGGAATCCCTGGGAGTTAGCTCTTGTCTGTTGCCAAGTCTGTGTTTATAGCTCAAAGCTGTCTCCAGAACAGGGGAAATGGTGGAGTTATTGACTTTTAGGTGCAGGGCCCTGAAATAGGCATCCGGGCATGATATAGGAACAGTACAGCTGTGGATTCTCAGAGACATGGGGTCCAATCCCAGCTGTAGCTTTGTGACCTTGAGCAAGTCACTTGACCTCTCTGAGCCTCAGTTTTCCCATCCACAAGATGGACTTTGTAATCCTCGTCTTATAGAATGGCCAGAGGTGAATGCAAGCTACACGTGTTGAGTGATGATCACCGGAGAGTACAGATGTGTGCATTTAGTGCCCCTCTGTCTGCAGCCCCAGCATACTGGAAAGAATGGGGTGATGGTATGGGGTGGGCCAGAGGAGTTCGTCCTGCATCTCTAAAGGGGTCACTCGAGGTCACAATGAAAAGACATGAGTACTCTGTCACTGCTGTCAATGCCGTGTGAGGTCGCATTTGAGCTCAGAGATTTTCTGCCTGGATTCTGGGTACCTGTGGTGTGCCAGGCACTTCTCATATAGTTGTATGCCTTTCATTTGCACCCCAGCAGGCAAAAACAGCGAGTCTTCCCTCTGCCCCAATTTACAGATGAAGTGACTGAGGTTCTGAGAGGGAGTGTCACTTGCCCAAGTGGCAGGTTGAGGCTGGAATTTGGTCCCTCTGCTTCTGGAAGCTTCCCTGAGGCTGCAGGCAACCGCTCAGCAGAGCGCCCCGTCCTGGACCAACAGGGATGTTTCACCTCTCGTGATGACATCACAGATGTCTGTGTTCAACAATCAAGAGCCCTTCACAGAAGAAGAGAAAAGCAGCTTTTCTGGCCTCTTATTCCCCAAAAGGATGAGATAAAGGCTACTCAGAGGTCACCAAAGGACAGTTTGAATCAAATCTCTTAAACGATGCTGATGGAGAGAGAATATGAAATGCCCATAATTTTGTGTGTGCCTTAAGGCTCAGTTTGTTTTTAAGCTGATGAGCAAGATGAGAACCTTTTGGTGAAAAGGGCCTGGGCCAGGAGTCAGGAGTCCAACCCCGGCTTTGCAACTGAATCACTGTATCTGAGCCAAGATACTTCCCCATCTCTGGGCCTCATTTTTCCCACCTGTCAAATGGGAGAGTGAAACTGGCTGACCACAGGACTTGTCCTGATCCAGCAATGGGGGAACCTGGGGCAGGGGATGGGGGGGGTGGGGTGCTTCTGGGATAGAGTTGCCAGATTTAACAAAGAAAAGTATAGGATATCCAGTGAAATTTGAATTCCAGATAAAAAAATAATTTTTATTAGTTTGTCCCCAGTATTATAGGAGACATAACTTAAAAATTATTTGCTGTTTATCTGAAATTCAAATTTAAGTGGTCATCCTGTATTTTGTCTGGCAACCCTATTCAGCACCTTCACCTCCACTGGACCCCTCAATTCTTTGATGCAGATAATTGATATCTTCACAGGTTCTAGATGAACTCCTGGCCACCCACCTTCCCACCAGATCCTCACCACCCGATCCCAACCTCCCCACCAACACCCAGTTTCCTGTTGACATAGAAATTCTAGAGCTGTGAGCTGAGAGGTTTCATGGGTCTAGGAAATCCTACAGCAGAGATAGGGGTGGAGGTGCAGCTGAACTTGGGGACTTAAATCAGTGGAGAGATTTATGTCTGTGTGTGTCACATAGGCTGGAGGGACACAGTGTCTGTGGGTGCTCACAAGCGGCTGATCTCATCCTGTGCCGCGTCTATGTGTGCACACACAAACTAGTGGCACTGCGTCCGCGTGTAACCAAGAAATAGGCCAGGGCTGTGGTCAGGCGCGTTCCCACCAGCACTGAAAGCCACATCCATGGGTGTGCATCGCATCCACCTGAACTGTGTGGGGCTGGACGCCAGGTCTGTGTGTGAGCCCCTGGATCCTCAGGAAACCCCGCCAGGGGGCATGACGTATCACAGAGACACCTCCCCCCACTCAGGGCCCATCGATAGCATGAAACGATGGTGAGACAGCCTGCGGGCCCCCAGAGAGGAAGAGTGAGCCACGCAAGGTCACACAGCAAGTGAAAATGCATCCAACCCAGGTCTTTGACAGAAGGTAAGACAGTGGCAAAATATCCGGGAGGCACATCCCAGACCCAGACTAACACAGTAGAGGCGGTGTGGTAGTTGGTAGCGGTGGTGTGGTCGTTAGGAATAGTGATGGTCACAAGTGGCAGCATGCTTGTTAGTGGCAGTGGTGGCAGTTAGTAGTCACGGCTGCGTCTATCAGGGCCAGTACGTACCAGGCACTATTTACACACATCGTGGTCCTAATCCTCTGTCAACCCTGCAAGACACTTGGAAACTTCCTGGACAGAGATGCGGAATCTTCCTGGACCAGGGATAGAACCCATGTTCCCTGCATTGGCAGTTGAACCGCCAGGGAAGTCCAGAAAGACCTCTCCGGTACCCTGAAGGCTGCTGTTTGCAATCCTCAAAGCTGAGCCTGAAATGGCTAAGAAGAGCAAGTAGAGGGATGGGAACTGGCCAGGGCCAAGGCTCAGGGCCTGGGGGAAAGCCCGTGTGTGTCCAGTCCAGCTGGACAGAGATGCACTTTGGGGCAAAGCTTCCTCAGGTATCCAATGACACTGCGGGCATTACAACAAATCATTCCTGTTCAACGAAAGAACCCACATTCTGCACTCAGCTCTCTTCTTGCACGTAATTAACAGAATACAAATTCCGACTCCAGGAGAAGACTTGAGCCACATGCTAGGGCATTGTTTTTTTTACCGTGAGGACACACTTCCCTCACCTAAACTGTTCACAGAGAGCGTCCACACCCCTTCCTCTGCGGTGTACGGCTTACCACAGCCTCAGGCTTATTTTGCTCCCGTTTTATTGATGAGGACACTGAGTTTCCAGGGGATGAAACAACCAGCCCAAGTTCATCCGCAAACCTGACTCCTCACCCAGTACTCTGTTCTCTGCCTTCTGTACAAAAAGAAACTCACGTTCAAAAATCCGTGGTTCCACACAGTGTCTGCTATCAACTGCTGGGCATTTGTGTCTCTGAATTTTCAAGGCCTTCCTGGCTTTGTCCAGTGGATATTTGACACAGTATTTTAATTTTTAATATACTAAATGGTGAGATGCCCTTTAATCTAAATTGAATCTCCAGCACCATTCATCTCTCACACCAGCCTGGTAGTTTTGCTCCCAAAATAGGCACTGTTAATTTTCAGCCTAAGGGTGAGGAGACTTTAAATTTCTGCTCCTGGGAAGGGCATGGTTGGTGGCCTTGACCAGGTGGACTGTCCTACCTGTAGGTCTCCGTAACAATTGTCTTCAGATATAAGGCTGTCACAGCCACCAGTCCCCACTTTCAGCCCTTCAGCCAAGTCCATCCTTCATGCCGTATGTGAGGAGACTGAGGTCCAGAGGGAAGTATATTGTCTGCAGTCACAGGGCCCTTCCACTCTACCTGTCCTCACCTTGACCATCCTCCTCTCCATCTCACTGAAAACCCATCTCTTCAATCTTATTCCTCCAGGAGGTCGTAATTAATGACCCTACTGTCTTAACTGAACAATAATGACCCAATATCTTCATCTGGGGGCTTCCCTGGGGGCTCAGTGGTAAAGAACCCACCTGCAATGCAGGAGATGCAGTTTCGATCCCTGGTTCAAGAAGATCCCCTAGAGAAGGAAATGGCAAACCACTCTAGTATTCATGCCTGGAGAATCCCATGGACAGAGGCGCCCACAGGCTACAGTCCATGGGGTCACAAAAGAGTTGGACACACCTGACAGACTAACGCTTTTCACTGTGAACACATACTAGCCAGTCCAGCACGGGAGGCTGGGGGCAACATTTCCATGTGCTTAGAACAGGGCCGGCCCTGTTCTAAGAGTGTGCCACGGCCACAGCTGGGTCTCATGAAGGCCCATCTATGAAAGGGGCATAACCCAGCTCAAGCTCCCTTCCTCCCACTGCACAGGCAGGACAGTGGATCTCCAGCACTGTCTGTACTGATAGGCAAGGCCAGTGGGGTGGGGGAGGTCTCCTGGGGAACAGGACATCCTCAGGCTCTTCTGCAGGGTCTCAGCCAGTCTGGCTCTTGGAAGCAGTAGGTGGGCGTCTTACTATGAACATCAGAAGAGGCTCAGGACCCAGAAACCCATTTTGGAGACATGTCCATCTCCTGTACCCCTGAACCACAGACTGTAGGATCCCAGGACCACTGAGCCCTGAGCAAGGGGCTCTTCCATTCACGGGACTCACCCAAGGGGCAGGCATGCAGAGAAATAGGGGTTGAATGAATAACTGGATGAATGAAAGATTGTTGGAGTCCTAGACCCTGTGATGTGTTAGCTTGTCTATAAGAGTAGATATTGGACCCCGGGTCCTCCGCAACTGGAACAGCAGAACGCCCGAGTCCTCCAGCTCCAGCACACTAGTTCAGATCTTCTGGATCGAAGCTAGCATTGGGCGCAGGCTCCTGATGGGTTCCTGCCAGCTTCCTGCCTTGTTTTTGCCTCTCTTCCTGCCTCGCTTTCCCCCTGCCACACGGCCGCCCGCCTTGGGGTGATTCTTAGGCATGTGTGTCTCCCCAGGACCCCCAGGCCAACCTCTCTGCACTCTGTCCACAGGTTTGCCAGGCACCGCTCCAGACCTGGAGAAGAGAAAGCAGATTTTTGGGCAAAACTTTATACCTCCAAAGAAGCCAAAAACCTTCCTGCAGCTCGTGTGGGAGGCCCTGCAGGATGTGACGCTGATCATTCTGGAAATCGCCGCCATCATCTCCCTGGGGCTCTCCTTCTACCACCCGCCCGGCGAGAACAACGAAGGTAAGACGGCGCCTGGGACCTCCCTCTCCTGGCCTGCAGCACACGTGCCCAGCCGTACCTCGGGGCACCTGGAGCTCAAGGCCACCGTTCCCTCCAGGCTGGGAAACTGAGGCCCAAGGGTCAGTGGGTGGCTGAGCTGGACCTGGGGCTGAGAGTGCCTGGCCCCCCCTTCTCCCATGTGGGAAACGCAGAGGTTGGATCAACCACGGTCACGTTAGAGTGAGTGTTTGTCAGGCGCTTAGTGTCCTGAGCTCCAGGCCAAGACACCGTCCTCCAACAGCCCCATGACCTAGGGGCCATGATTATGCCCATTTTAAAGATGAGGAAACCAAGGCACAGGGAAGTGCGTTAACTTGCTCCAGGTCACCCAGCTAAGAAAGAGCCCCCAGATTTTGCGGTGGGGCTTGTTAAAGACACCACTGCCCAGACCACGCTCTTGTTCTTCATTCGCTCAGTTGTGTCCCACTCCTTGCCACCCCATGGACTGCAGCACGCCAGGCTTCCCTGTCCTTCACCATTCCCCAGAGCTTGCTCAAACTCATATCCATTGAGTCAGTGATGCCATCCAGCTATCTCATCCTCTGTCATCCCCTTCTCCTCCTGCCTTCTATCTTTCCCAGCATCAGGGTCTTTTCCAACAAGTCAGCTCTTCACATCAGGTGGTTAAAGTATTGGAGCTTCAGCTTCAGTCCTTCCAGTGAATATTCAGGGTTGATTTCCTTTAGGATTTTTTGGTTTGATCTCCTTGTTGTCCAAGGGACTCTCAAGAGTCTTCCCCAGCACCACAGTCTGAAAGCATCAATTCTTTGGCGATCAGCCTTCTTTGTGGCCACTCTCTGGTTATGTTGAATGGAGTCCGAGGGAGAGTGACCCCAAACTTCTATCCAGCTGCTCTCTGTAGGCTCCACACTCTCTCAGCTGAGGACAGACCCTCCAAATTGCCCACCCACGGGCTACATCCATGCTCGATCTGACATGGTGTCAGCCTCAGGCCCCTTGCCCTCTGGGCACTCTAGCTTCTAAGTGATCCTGTTTCAGCCCCAACACTGGGCTCCTTGAGGCCCCCAACTGTGAGAAAACCCATGATGACGTCAGAGCCCTGTGAACCTGGTATTCTAGAACACGGATCTCAAACATCAGCCCACGGCCAAATCCAGCTCACCCCCTGTTTTTGTATGGCCCTTAAGCAAGTCACTTTCCTTCTGTGAATCTCAGTTTCCCAATCTGCTAAACAGGGCAACAGACCTCACCTGGAGAGGTTATAACAAGGAGGTGGTGGAGGGGTGTGTGGACAGCCTGGCACACAGAGGGCGCCCAGAGGTGCTGGACCTGCTGCCGCCGTCGGGGGGACCACCCTGGGCTTCCTTCCCTGCATCCCCGTCGGGGATCTCACTCCTGGTGCCTTGAGGAGGAGGCCTCTCAGTCCCAATCCTGTGCTTGCTTCAGGGCCAGCACACCCTGGTGGGGCTGATGCTGAGCACGCTCTGCCATGTGGCACATCTCGGGCTTGAGAGGGCGTCCTGAAATATGGCCTGGGTTCTGAATGGGGCCATTGCTTGATGGGTGGAGGAAGTACTGTCCCACTCACCCAGGGAGGGTTCTGGAGCAAACCCACTTTCTCAGTCAGGACTCGGGAGCCCTAATGCAAAACCTCATAAATAAACGAGGAGGTTGGGATTAACATATACACACTAATAGACACTAAAATAGATAACAACAAGGACCTACTATACAGCACAGGGAACGCCACTCAATATTTTGTAATAACATCTAAGGAAAAATAATCTAAAAAAGAATAGATATGTGCGTATAACTGAATCACTATGCTATACACCTGAAACTAACACGATCTTGTAAATCAACTAAACTTCTACTTTAAGAAAAGAAAACCTCAGCCTCCATTCTTCCTTTAATTCCAAATACTGAGCACCTGCCAAGGGCTAGGCTTCACCAACTCCATGCAGCTTCCCTTTATCATGGCGAAGTTTTTCAAGCCTGAATCCCTCTACACATCTATACGTAAACAGAAAGATAGGCAGACTGATAAATATATACACATAAACCGTGGGCTATGTAGGATTACATAAGATATATTGTTTTGCTGTTAGATTTTTATAATCTGATTTGGTATTAGTACAAAAGTATCAATACTTTGTTATTAATTATTATTAGGCATCTTAATGTGCTTCATAAACAAATCATCCTTCTAGGTTCACTGCTTCAGGCAAGCGAATAAAAAGTGGAAACCAAATATATGAAATAATCTCTGTGGGCCTCATTTGCCCAAATGAGGAGGTGGTTTCTGAGGTTCTTTGTTCAGCTGCTACCCCATTCCCTCCCATGCCAGAATTTCCTGAGAAACTGGATAACCAAGTCTATCTGTAAGCTACCTCGATTTTTTTTTTTAACCTAATATTACTAGTTGATTCCTTTTTTCTGCATCACCTCTTTCCAAAGAGGGTTTAAAGCAAATAAGTCTGCTCCCTTGATTGAGATATAAATTTGACTTTGAACTTCGTGACAACCAAAGCAGAAAGTGAATTAGGATGATTTGCATAGCTCAAGTTATCAGTTAGGAGGAAAGGAAGTTCTTTAAGAAAATAGCACATCCCCTGACAATGAACTGTGGGATGAACTTACACATAGGACCTTATGTGCAAGCATGCCGTGTTGTTTCGGTCGTGTCCGACACTTTGCGACCCAATGGACTGTAGCCCACCAGGCTCCTCTGTCCATGGGATTCTCCAGGCAAGAATACTGGAGTGGGTTGACATGTCCTCCTCCAGGGGATCTTCCCCATCCAAGGGATCAAATCGTCTCCTGAATTGGCAGGCGGATTCTGTACCACTAGCGCCACCTGGGAAGCCCAGGCTATTATGAGAGATGCATAATGGGCAGCACTCTTTGCAGAAATTTTGTAGAAAATAGAGAAGAAGATGGTACACTGCTTCTTGCATAAGCCTCGAACAAAGCTAAGGGCGCAACACAAAAGCATAATAAGGAGGGTAATTCCTACTATTTTTAGAGCCACCGCTAGTTGGAAGCTTTAAGGGAAAAAGTTCATTTGATACTCACTTGACCCTCACAACAGCCCTGTGGGCAGGTAATCTTATTACCCAGGAAGCCGAGGCCCCGAGATAGTAAATGACTTGCAAGTTCAGACTCCGGGAACCGGCAGAACCGTGACTCAGACCAAGGCGTTCTGGCTTCCGTGCCCGCGTGCCTGTCTGTCGGCTGCCTTTCCTCAGAAAGGGACCAGGTCGAGTCAGCACCACCCGGATAAGTGACCTCAGGTGACCCAGTGCGGTGCAAGCTTAGAACTCAGCGGGCAGGGGGTAGAGGGGGTGCAGTGGGGACACAGATCAGGCTCCTGGAGGGGTGCCCCACAGCCCTGCTCTCGGATGCCTGGGGTCGCCTCCATCCTAGAGAGGCGGGAGCCAAGGCCCAGAGAGGGAAGGACTTGCCTAAGGTCACACAGCGTGAAGGCAGGCGAGCTGGATTTGGAACTCCAAGCTTCTGGTTCTTTCTACTGCCCCTCACTTCTTCCAGCTAAGACACCAGCTCAGGCCACACTGGGTTGATAAGGGCAGCTGAACACACTTTTTTCCTGCAGAATGGAGTTCTCGAACTTTGTGACTTACTCCTCCCTGATACCCAAGCCCGGGCCTGTGCTCTGAACCTTCCATGGTGCCTTGACCACCCCCTGCCATGGGAGGCTTAGGCTGCAGCAGTTACATTTAAAATGATGCTGTGTACTAAGTTGCTCAGTCGTGTCCAACTCTGCGCAACCTTGTGGACTGTAGACCCCCCAGGCTCCTCTGTCCATGGGATTCTCCAGGCAAGAATACTGGAGTGGGTTGCAATGCCCTTCTCCAGAGGACCTTCCCAACCCAGGAATCAAACCCGCATCTCTTATGTCTCCTGCATTAGCAGGCAGGCTCCTGACCACTGGTGGCACCTGGGAGGCCACAGAACAGTGCTGGTGATGGACAAGCACTAGACTGCCTTGCCGTACCCAGAACCCCTCCTTGTTAGCTTTCTTGGCTCCGAGACCTCTAGACACCTGTTGGGGGTCAAAAGGCACTTTCACGGCAGGGCTAGGGTAGGCATAACCCCTGCTGCCAACTCCCTGCCCATGACAGCTCCCTTAGTGCCAGAGAGCCAGCAGAGTGACCAGCACATAATAGCTGCTTAGAAAATGTTTGTGACTTGACCAGTTTTGAGAGTCCTTATTTGATGTCGGGCCCTGGTAACCACCTCGGAAGCAGTTTCTCCATTTTACTGATGAACAATCACAGGGAAGCCTAGAAAGGCCAGGTGGGTTCCCCAAAGTCAGACAGACATACTTTAGAAAACCCTGGGTCCAAGGAGGGCAGTTGCAGTCTCCCCAGATCCTGTGGTCACAATCTCTAGATCCTGTCCCTGCCCCAGTCCAAGCGAGCCCAGAGGTGACCTCAGCAGGGCCCACCCACACCCCTCTTTCTTCCCCTCCCTCATCTCTTTCTCCTGATTGCCCCAGAGCAGCAGGAGGTGTTCTCAGGGTCTGGTGGCTCTGAGTAATGGAAGGAACCCACACCTCTACTTTCTTGCCCTTCCTAGGCACCATGTAGTCATCAGACTGTAGGTCACACAGGTGGCTCCGGGTATTGGTATCCTCACTGTGTATTGGAGGCTCAGATCCAACGAGAGCCACATAAGACCCTCCTGTGTGCTGAGCGCTGCCCGGAGCTTTGACCTCCCTCCCCTGGAGCCTGGGCTCCGTGACTCCCATTTTGCAGACCAGCACACCACAGCAGCTCAGGAAGGGCAGTGACTTGCCCAGGACCAGAGAAGGGCAGCAGCAGGGTTCGGACCCAGCTTGTTGGAGAGCAGGTCCCACCCCAGCCTAGAGGCCTGCCGCACAGTTGCTGGAAGAATGGAAGGAAAGGATGTCAGCAAAACTGCCTTTTAGACCCTAAAGCACCTGCAGTGTAGATGACAGTGCAGCCCCTTCTGCCTGGCTGACCCATCCCGCCTGCTTCCTTCCGCTCTGCGCAGGATGTGCGACGGCCCAGGGCGGGGCAGAGGATGAAGGGGAGGCAGAGGCGGGTTGGATCGAGGGGGCCGCGATCCTCCTGTCGGTCATCTGCGTGGTCCTGGTCACGGCCTTCAATGACTGGAGCAAAGAGAAGCAGTTCCGGGGCCTGCAGAGCCGCATTGAGCAGGAGCAGAAATTCACTGTGGTCCGGGCCGGCCAGGTGGTCCAGATCCCTGTGGCTGAGATCGTGGTTGGGGACATCGCCCAGGTCAAATATGGTAAGTGACCCCACTGTTGAGCTGGGGGCTAGAACTGGAGTCCAGGCAGGGGTGGGAATGGGCCAGGCAGACCCAGAGAAGTGGGCCCAGAGCAGAGGGTGGATTCCTGAAGGCTGACTCCAAGCCCAGATATCTTCTGAGCTTCTTGAAGAGGTGGAAGGCTCATTTCTGGAGGAGGTAGGATTCCAGAATTCATTTAAACCAAAAACTGGCAAATGCATGACACATGTACCACCACTCTCTAAACATCTACCCTTAGCAGACATTACTAATTGATCTCAGCTCAAACCTGAGATAACATCATCAGATGACTTCTCAACCCAGCACTCCAAGGACCACCAACACTCAGAGTGGGCTGAGGAAGTGAAATCCCTTTCCCTTCTCTGATTTGGCTGTTAATGGATGATTGTCGTGCTAGAGAAGGTGTTATGGGGAGTGGACAGGAATGGGAAAATATTCCAGGCCCGTGATGCTGCTGTGGAGAAAGTGAGCAGGCTGGTGCCAAAGGGGATTTAGTTGAGATATGTCCTAGGTAAGTAGAGGTAAGAGAAAGGGGAAAGATTAGAGGACCCCTTCTCACCAGCCATATTATCCTCTGATAATATTCCTGTCTTGGGGTCTAGCCTAGTCAAGACAGGTTAGTCCCTTCCCAAAGAATTTCCCCAAACCATAGTTGAGGCCAGAGAAGAATGAATCATTGAGAAATCTGGGCCCTAAATCCATGCCGTGCCAAGTGAAGCACTTTAGAAACTGAAGGACATGCCCACTCGAACTCAGATAGAGACAGGACCCAGCCTCAGTGCTCCAGGCCCCCTGCCCTTCACCCGGACCCCGGGCTTCAGCTGCCCATTGGCCTCTGATGGACACCACCTTGGTTCCTGCACCCTGGGGGCGCTAGGCAACCTGTTCCAGAAGGCGACTCCTCCTTGCAATCATGCTTGAAGGGAATATTCCAGCCTCTCCAGCCCCTGAGACCCTGCTGACCGCCCCCTTGCCCTTCCTCCCACCAGGCGACCTCCTCCCTGCCGACGGCCTCTTCATCCAGGGCAACGACCTCAAGATCGACGAGAGCTCCCTGACCGGGGAGTCTGACCAGGTGCGCAAGTCGGTGGACAAGGACCCCATGCTGTTGTCAGGTGAGCTGCGGCCCGCGGTGGGCTCACTCCCATCGCCAGTTCCTGCCCATGTCCCCTTGATGAGGCTGGGGGGTCTCAGAGCCTTTGGTCTCTGGCCAGCTCGGCCCCAGCCAAGAACTCCCTCCTTTTCCCCAGCAGACATTCATTAAGTCTACTGTGTAGTCAGTACTTCTCCAGGCCCTGGGGTGAGCCCAGCGAATAAAACTGACGATGAATTCCTGCCCCCTCCAACCATGGAACTACCTTCTAGCGAACTGGTTTTCTGAAAATTGAACATGGAAGTCTGTTCTCATTCAGGACAAGAAAGAATCAGTCTGGTGACCGTTGTTTTAGAGGCATACTGTGTGCCAGGCACTGGTCTGGGGACTGGGGCCTGAGACAGATGAGGCCCCAACCTTGAGGAGCCTGTGGTGTCGTGAGGGGTCAGACATTGTGAAAATTCCAGAGAGTAACAGATATACTCTTGAGAGTCCCTTGGACAGCAAGGATATCCAACCAGTCCATCCTAAAGGAAATCATCCCTGAATATTCATTGAAAGCACTGATGCTGAAGCTGAAGCTCCAATACTTTGGCCACCTGATGCGAAGAGCCAACTCATTGGAAAAGACCCTGATGCTGGGAAAGATTGAGGGCAGAAGGAGAAGGAGATGACAGAGGATGAGATGGTTGGATGGTATCACCAACTCAATGACAAGAGTTTGAGCAAACTCTGGGGGATGGTGAAGGATAGGGAAGCCTGGCGTGCTGCAGTCCATGGAGTAGCAAAGAGTCAGACATGACTGATAACTGAATAACAGCAACGACAGATACACAATGAAAATAAAGCAGGTCAATGGGGAGGTCGAGGAGGCCTGTAAGCTGAGGTGTGAATGATGACACAGAGCTGGTCTCGCAACTTTCCAGAGGATGAATATAGCGGCAGCAGGAATGGCACATGCAAAGGCCCTGAGGCAGGACTGGGAGCAAGATGGAGGGGTCTGATGTCAGGCCTGGTGCGCCGTGCTCAGGAGTTTATAAAAGTTCTGAGTGTGATGAGTACTCTCTGGAATTGGCAGTAAGCTGATCCCGTTTACGTTTTTAAGATCTCAGTCTGACTGCTGCAGGGGTGGGGCAAGAAAGGAGGGGTGACCCTGCAGAGGTGAGGCACCAGTCAGGTGAAATACCTTCTCCGAGCAGGACACCTGTCCAGAAGTGCTCAGCAAACATCGTCTGAGCAGCTGCTCTGGGCCAGGCTGAGCAGTGGGACACCTCCCCACCACCCCACGATGACACAGACTCACCCCCCGCCCTTGGAAACCTCTAACCTGAGTGAGCAGGAGCAGGGGGCAGGGAGTAGACTTGCAAATAGCTAAGTCCATAGAAGAGGAGCAAGGAAGGTGTGAGAAAACCAAGGGGCCAGAACCATCTAGAAGAGGTAGAATTGAGCAGGGTTTTAAAGGATCAGGTGGAGCCCACCAGGCAGAGTTGTGGAGAAAGGGTCCTCCTAGCAGAGGCACAGAGGTCTAAAGGAGGGTGGAATTTCCTAGAAATGTTACAAAGAGGAAGGGGTGCATGTCTACAGGGTATGATGGTAAAAAGAACTGAGAATCGGGTCTGGGGCATTTGCTTATCAAGAACTTATTCAAGTATTCATTTATTGAGCACCTACTGTGTGCCAGTGGTTCATGGAACGAGCAAGGTGCCTGCCCTCCTGGAGCTTAGGATCTGGTAAAAGAGGAACAAAGAAGAAAGGAACAAACAAGCAGATACGTGCCACCGTTTCAGATAGGGATAAGTCAGGTGAAGACGTTACATCATTGTAGTGAGATAGAGACCCTGAGGAAGGGGATGGGAATCTTAGTTGATCAAGGAAAAGCGTGTGTGAAGAGGCTGCATTTGAGCTAAAGGCAGAGCAGTGAGAGAAAGAGCATTCCACAGGTGCGGTGAGTGCTAAATCTCTGGCCTTGCGGCTTAGTTTTTCTGTCCGTTTGGACTCGAGGCCTGTGTCACAACCATGCTCCGCCAGATCATCGGTCAGGCCAAGAAGCATCCTAGCTTGATCCCCCTCTTCATATTTATTGGAGCAGCACTGTATGTCACACGCCTGGCAGTGTTCAATCCCGACGTCAGTTGGGACAGAAAGAATAACCCAGAACCCTGGAACAAACTAGGTCCTAATGATCGGTACAAGTTCTACTCTGTGAACCTAGATTACAGCAAGCTGAAGAAAGAAGGTCCAGACTTCTAAATGAACTATTTCACTTAAAGCTGCTTAGAATGAAGGCCTTCCAGAAGCCATCTACATAATTCCACTTAACCAGGAAATATTTCCCCTCTAAATGCATGAAACCATGTTGGTGTATTGTGTTGGGGTTTACACTGATGAATAAATAGTCTGAAACTTGAAAAAAGGAAAGAAAGAAAGAGCATTCCAGAAAGAGGGACAATAAGTGCAAAGGGCCGGGGGTCCGCCCGAGTGATCATGGAAAGCCATAAGTGCGCTCTGGGAACTCACAGCCACGTGGGAGTTCTGTAAATGGTCATCGCCCTGTGGCCTTGGTCCTGACCTCTGGGCCGAGTGATTGTCAGAGAGGCGGGCACCCTTGAGAGAAGCGGCTAGGTGGGTTATGAGGCTCAGTGCAAGTTGAGGGGAGGTGCTGGGCCTGAGTGGATGGGAGATGAAGGTTCCAGACAGTTTGGAGGAGAGGAGAGGTAGTTCCCTGGCAGGAGGCTGGGGAGAGAAAATGTTCAGGATCACTGACCCGAACGAAGCATCACCAAGCAGCCCCACAGATGTGGAGACCCTGGAAAAGAGCAATAGGGTAGAGGTGGATGGGAAGTCGGCTGGCCAGCCCAAGTAGGGTCAGCCACTCTGGTCTCAATCTATCCACCTGTCAAGACAAATGGAGGAGACCCTGGGCCTCTGGGCATCAGGAAACAGGAGCCAGGGTCTCCTGCGATGTCTTTTGAGGGCAGGACAGAGAAGGGTGTGCCAAGGCCAGGGGATTTCGGTTGGTTTGTGCTGATGCTTGCATTGCTGGCGATCTGGTGGGAGGTTTCTAGCAGGCTCCCCTGGAGCTCTCTCCTGTTGCAGTGTGGAAAGTGTGCCCATCAGGTTTGCAGAGCCCACACACCCAGGGAGGGTCAGGACCCATAAAATGTGGCCAGAGTGCAGGGTGAACTAGACTCGAGAAAATGAAACTGAACTCTGAGCTGCAGTGCCGACATTCTGAAATGTGAGGGGGAGGGAGGGCCGTGGCTTAGCCCAAGCTCCAGGGGGAAAGACAGTAAGAAAGGGGCGTAGTCAGCCCCATGGAAAGCAAGCTGATTGGAAAGAGAATTCTGTGACAGTCAGAACCATTCTAGGAACAGACGAGGCTGCCTGTGTGGTAGTGAGTTCCCTGTCACTGATTGTGTGTAAGTAGGGCCTGGACAGACTGGGGATGGGGTGGTTGTAGAGGAGGCTGGAGCAATGAGCAGACACCGCCTTCAGTGCCCCTCCCTGTGGTGAGAGTCACAGCTCAGTACACCCGTCCTCACCTGCACCTCAGCTACAGACCCGCCTTGCTTCCTTTCCTCTGCCCTGCCTCTGGTGAGGCCGTTCACTACTCCCAGAGGGCCCTTTTCCTTCCTCGTTGCACATTTAACTCCTGCTCATCTGCCCAGCGCCACCTCCTCCACGAAGTCTTCCCTGACCACCCTTTGGCCTGCACCCGGGCACCTCCTGGGACCCTTGTGTTGGCCTGTGACATCACACTGCACTCAGCCATTCGGGCACAGCCTGTCATGCTGATTGAGTTTTGTGCTGCACAGAGCATCTCAGATAAAGAGCAAGACTATCCACAGCCCCGCCACCCAAACAAATCTAACAGGCCTCACTTTCATGGGCCCTTCCATCCTTGGCCAGTCCAAGTGGGTGGGAGCCCAGGCCTGAGGCTGCCAGGAGGTCAGCCCAGCTCCACCGCAGGCCCTGCACCCCTTAGGGTTCAGGCAGTGTCTGCCGAGTGAGGAGGGAGGCTGCACTGAGTAGTAGAAAGAACAGAGTTTGGCCAGGCCGAGCCGGATCTGGGCACTGGAATGAACTCACCGTGTGGCCTTGGGCACGTCACGTCACTTCCCTGAGCCTCGGTTTTCCTGTGAGGACGACAGCAATGTCCTGGTGAGTGATGTAGGTGAGGCCCCTACCCAGCACGGTGCTGCCAGAGGGATGCCCACGGTGGGCTGCATCCCTTCCCTGCTCCTCCTGAGGAGCCTGCACTTGGGAGTGACATAGGCCCGGGTTCAGATCCCGATTCTGCCCCTCATTGGCTGGGAGACGCTGGACAAGCTTCTTTCTGAGCCTGCATTCCCTCACTTGTAAAATGGGAGAACAACAGCAGCTTATGTGTCCTTTTCCCACCTCTTCCTTCATCCTGAATGTGTCACCGTTCCCCCTCTCTGGGCTGGCCCCATCTCTCCATCATGTAACTCCTCCCCACCTACAGCCTTATGAGCCTGCCTCCTCCAGGGAGTACACCTGGATTGCTCTCTTCCCCATTGCTCTCAACTCTGCATAACTGTCACATTTGGGCACTCTTTTTTTTTTTTTTGCACATGACCAGACTCTTCATACCCTTCCTCTGTGCTAAAGTCTTTGCTGGGCCTTTTGGTCAGATGACCCTCAGAAAATACAGAGAGACCAGCCTGGGGACACCTGCAGGGTCCTCATGGTAGCTGAGAAAGCCCCCCTGCCCCGCACCCGCCACATACACACCCCTACATCACATCTACATTGGCTCAGCCTAGAAGAAGGCAAATAATGCTTGGTTCTGGGTCCAGTGGCTCAGCCTGTGGCCCTGGACAGGTTGCTTCGTCTCTGACCACCCATGTCCATGTCTGTGTAGTCATCGGGACCCCCCACATCTGCCTACCCCACAGGGCTGTTTTGGGGGCCACATGCCTAAACCAATGGGACTATCCTTTGTGAATGGCGTGCTTGTGAGACGCTGCATGATGTGGATCAAACACAGAGGCAGAACCC